TGCTCCTCTGGAGTCCTGCTGCTCACCTAGTTTGCCCATCAGCATCTGCCTCATGCCCTTAATGTCATTATACTCATGGAGCTGGGAAATGTGGTCCCCCAGTTCATCCACACTGTAGCTTCTGGGGTGAGGGATGGAGAGAGAGGGAAACACAGACTGTTAAGAAAGCTGATGAGGACCCCAGGCTAAGATAGTAATTAGGTATCTTGGGCTGGCCAGTTAGCTCACTTGATAAGAGCATGGTGCTTACAACTTCAAGGTCAAGGGTTCAGATCCCTGTACCGGCCAGCCGCAAACAAACAAACAAAGAAAAAACCCAGTAATGATGCATCTGTTCAATAAATGTTCAGTAAGGGCCTACTAGGTGCCAGGCACTGGGGATATAGCAATGGAAAAATAGACCCAGTCCTCATGAAGATCCCAGCAGGGCAGGGGATCTGCCCAGCTCCTTGCTCCTGGCAAATGCACCCTGTCCCCTTAGGGAGGGGTCCACAGCCACATTGGTTCTATGTGACCCTGGCCACAGCTAAGGGACTCAGGGATGGGCACAGGATCCAAGCAGCCAGGCAGAGTCCCTCAAGTGTTTTCTTGGGCTGAATGTCCCCCAGAACTTCATTCCCACTGTAACTTCTGAGGGTGGGAAATCCAATTATGGTGATTGAAAGGTGCGGCCTTGAAGAGGTGATTAGATTGTAGGACTGTGCCACAGTGAATGGATTGATAATGGTGGTCAGGGGTGTGGGTTTTTTTTTTTTTTTTCCTTTTTGTCTTTTTTTTACTGACCGGTAACAGGATCGCAACCCTCGGTGTTCCGCCTGCACCACGCTCAGCCAGTGAGTGGGAACCGGTCTCCACATGGGATGCGAACCCTCGGCGGGGGCGCCGCCACGCTCCCAAGCGGCACACTCTCCAGTGCACCACCGGGCCGGCCCAGGGGTGTGGTTTTAAGGGCTTTAAAAGGGGAACATGGAGAGTCTCTCTGTTCTCTCTGCTTCTGCCATCTTGCAATGTGAGGGGTCACTGTCACCACCACCATACATGTTCCTTGGACTTTGGACTTCCCAGTCTCAGAAACTGTAAGCAACAAATTTCATTTTTCTTATAAATTACCCAGTTCCGTGTATTTTGTCAGGCCTTAGCTGAAGGGAGTGATTCTCTAGTGCTTGGACGGTGATGAGGCGGCGCTTCCCCTTTCCTTTTCCCTGTCCCAAGATGTCAGAGGAAATCCGACAGGAGAAATTGGCCAGGGCCAAGAAGAAGGTATAACATGCTGGGTCGCAGCCCCAGAGCCAGCCCGAGGCCCCTCCTATGGTGGGACAGGGGCAGAACTCGGTGTCACTTCTGAGGCACACGGGGCTTGCCCCTCTGTGCCTCTTGACTCCCCCCACCAAAGTCTTCTCAGCCATCCCTTCCCCTCAGCAGCCCAGACCCTGCCCGTGCCAGCTGTCCCCTGGTGACTTTGGCCTGTAAGGTTACGTCCAGGGCTCCCCACCTGGACTCAGCCCTGGCCTCCTGCTGCCCCAAACCAGACCTTCCTGGGATCCCTGGGTCCCCTGGGTTCCCGTCCTCAAGGACCTCGGTCCTGGCTCTGTGCTCCCCTACCCCACAGTGTTGCAGTGACTCTGGCATTGGTAGGAAGGAGTGGAATGTAGTCACCTCACAATCCCATTCCAAACTGTCCCAATCCCCCTGGGAAGTGTCACAATCCCTCAGGAACTGTCATTACTGCCTGGGAGGTTTCTGGCTCCCTTGCCCCCTTTACTTAGACATTGCCTACCTAAAAAGCCTGCACTTCACCAGTGAGCTCAAAATGTTGACAATATCTCTGGGTGACAATTGGGAGAACAGGCTTGGTTTGGTTTTCTCCCAGGTTTCTACTCTCTAGAGACACTTAACAATATATTTCTGAGTCCGTATCTCACTTCTGAGTCTGTATCTCACATTAGAATCCCCTAGGATTCTGGGACCAGAGCGCTGTTCAGTCACTACTCTCTGGAGGGAGATGTGCTTATCTTCTGTGGGACAAATCCTGGGTAACTGAACTTCACAGCTTGAATCTTTGCCCAGATCATGTCAATCTGGGGTGCCACATGACTCACAGGGGGCCTGTTTCTGAAGCGTCACATTTGCTTGATTCTTTTGAGAGAGACAAAACCTCTTAATGTACTTAGGGGTGACATTTGCCTGGATTTGTAAGATCATAACGGACTTCTCTGAAATGAGGCTTGGGTTGTCCTCTTTTTGTTAGGTCTTCAGATCCCTAGGGGTGTGCCCTCATGACTTCTGCCATTAGGATACATTGACATAAACGTTTGAGAAGTACTGGGGTGCAGCTCTCAAAGCTCTGTGAGGGAGCACCCCGATGTCTGATTTGTATTTGGCCCCCCAGCAGCTGTTGATTCATGACAAAGCCCCAGAAGACTGAAGTTAAAATCCATTATTGCCTTTTTCTAATCATGCTATCGGTCCATTTCTTCAGCCATTTAGTGATCATTACAACACCTTATAGGGTTGCTGGTGGCATTAAATCAGACAGTACGAATAAGAATACTTTGTAAAAACTGTAAAATACATGACAAATATAGGGTCTTACGCATTTCCTGAATATTACTGCTTTTCATTTTCACAGTTAAGAGAGTACCAACGGAAAAAGAGCAGAGCTGGTACTCCACAAGAAAAAAACATCAAAACTGGCAGTAGGCCCCAGCCCACCATACCTGGGGATTGCCAGTCACCTCAGAAGGTGAGTCTTGGCTGGTCAGGCTCCTGGGAACAGGGGGCTGAAGGAGCAGTAGGGGGTAATGGTAACGTGGAAGAAGTGTCAGGGACTGGGTAAGAAGTCTGGGTTTGAATCCTACATCTCCCTCTGCTAGGGATATGACATAGGACTCTTCTCTGAGCTTCTCCTTTGAAGCTGTGCACACAAAGATGGACCACGAGCTTGGCTGTCTCATTGGATCCTGCTGCAGGAAGCACAGGATGATGTTGATAACACCAAGGCCCAAGGCTCAACCCCTGTACTGGCCACCACCAAAAAAGAAAAAGAAAAAAAAGAAAAGAAAAGCGCAGGATAAGAGCTGCTTGGGAGGGGAGGGACGATGGGGAAGTGAGACTTGAGAAGTGGGCACAGAGGGGCTACAGTAGGAGGGCGTGGTCCAGGTTAGGAAGGACAGCAGAGGGGTTAGCCATTGAGGGGGATGGAATGTCTCCACATGTGCTCTCATGTCTTCTAGTCCCCATCATCCATCGGTGGGGAGGCCTTGATGACTTCAACTTATGTTAAGGAGCTTGAGGTAATTGCCCTACAGGCCAGCCCCCCAACTACCTCCCATGCTGGGAGCTGGGGGCCCCACAGCCAACTGAAACAGCCACCACCCCCACCCCTAATGATCGCTCTCTCTACCTCTCCCCCAACCCTCCTCCAACTCCTCCTCTCTTCATGTGCTGCAGAGCCGGTGCCTAGTTCTGGAGGCAGCCCTGGACTCCAGCTACGCAGTAAAGAGTTACCTGACGAGTGTCGTCCAGGAATTGGTAAGAGTCCAGTGGGGTCCCTGGGTTCCACGCTGCCAATCCTGGGCTCCAATTTCCCCTTGGGGCTCTGAAGAAAAGGGGCTGGGGGTACCTGTGCCAAGGGAGAATGGGGTGCTTGGGGGCCTAGTTCTCAGCGGGAGAGACCCCAGACCATGCAGCATGGGTCTTTCTGTTGCTGACCTGACTGCCCACTCTCTTTTCTCCAGATACCCCTGCTGGAGTCCCTGCCCCATGTGCTCTGGTCTGTCCCCCTGCTGGAAACACTAGGCTGACTGTTGTCAGGAGCCCTGTGTTCCCACCCTGACTTAGTTCCTGCTTTGCTTTGTCTTTGGTTTTGGACAAGCCACCTCTCCTGCCTGGGCTTGAGTGTCCTGAGATAGAATTAGAGGGTGTCAAAGTCCCTTTCAGCCCTAAGAATGAAAGATTTCTAGGCACACATGAGACATCAGGGAGACGGGGATCTTGCCTGTTCTTTTCATTCCTGGATCCCTGCTATTGAGATCAGTCCCTGTCCTGTAGTGTGTGGTTCATGGTGAATACATGCACCCTTGTGAATCACAAGCTGGGAGAAGGGTAGTCTTTCCCTTCTCAGCCTCCATTTCTACAGGTTTCTGTGGTTGTCATGTAAAGAGAATCAGGATTCAGATGTTCAGCTCTGTGGCTGTGAGTGAAAACCAACAAAGACCCAAATTCTTTTTCCTTGGGAGTTCAAGTAGAGTTTGTCAATTTGCGTCCCCATAGGGTCTGAGAGCTTTTCCTTGAAAATCCATCCCTGGCCCCATGGAGCTGAGGGCGACAACCTCGGTCACCTTCCCGTGACTCTCCACATGGAAAAAACAGGACCAGGAAGCTCTGGATGACCTGGAAAGAGGAACATGATTTCTTTGTTTGCTCCTTCCATGTGTGATGGGTTTGGCGAAAGACCCAGATGGAGAGGCCGCAGGCTTGTCTTGCCCACTCCCGACCTGGAGAAGGCTCAACCCCTGCACCCCACCCTCAGTCCCACAGGGTCCCTGAGGATCTGGTCTCCCTGGTGGGCCTGTCCTGGGCCATTGGTGGCATTCCTGGGGCCTATCAGTTGCTGTTGCATCTCTGCCTCCCTGGTAAGAGATGTTTTCTTTCCTCTTCCTACAGCAGGAGAGTAGGTGTCAGCAGCGGAACTCCCTGTGGGAACAACTGCGGGTGAGCAGACTCTATGGCATCCCTCACGTCCCCTAGAGAACCTTCCTGTCCCTCTCTCACCACCTGTTTGGCTTTTCTCCCAAAGGCTCAGATTCAGACCACTGAAGCCTTAATGTACGAAAAGGCACAGTTAAAAAGAGCCTTGGCCAGTGCTCACAAGGAAGCCCAGCAGAAAGCAGGTGTGGATCTGGGCACCCTTCCTCCCTCAACCTGGTGCCTTGGCAGGCCTTCGGGGGAGTCCTTTGTGTTCCACCTTGACCTCTGTCATTCCAGGGGAGTGTCAACATCTGGCGAGCTTTCTGGACTCCCAGGAAAGACAGATTTGACAGCTGCAGGGGAGTCTGACCGCCTTCTCCACTCAAGAGGAGGCCAAGAGGGTGAGTCCAGCCACCTGCCCTCACGCTTGTGCCTCCACCCCCAGGGGAAAAATGGGCTTAGAGAATTAGATAGACCTGGATGTTCACATCTCAGCTATATGTGATCTTAGCACTTAACCTCTAATACCTTGTATTTCATCTACAAAATGGAGATAGTAATAGCAACTCCGTCCTATGGTGATTGTGAGGATTCAATGGATTGTTAGCATGGTGCCTGGTGACGCACGCAATACAGAGTCAAATGATGGTGATGCAGTCATAACAATGGCAACATGACCCGATGTCCCTGGGCCTCTGTCAGCCAACTGTAAATCAGATCTCTTTCCCTGCCTCTTCCACCATTACTGAGGTCTTAGGAAAACCAGCTGAGAACATGGCCTTGGAAATGCCTTGAAAAAGGTGTCAAGTGTGATTCAGGGGGAGGAAAGGTCACTGCTGAATGGTTGCTGTAGGTGTCGGTGTTCATGTGCTCCGACTCCAACTTCTCCCTGCTGAATCCTGACTTCACCTTCCTGTATTTGCAGTCCTACCGCAATCTCAAGAGCGAGCGAGATGCTCTCTTCCTACAGTTGGAGGACAACAAGTGGGAGAGAGATGGTGGGTGGCAGGTCTGGGGCCTCAGCATGGGTGATGTAGTGGGAGATAGGAGGGTACAGGTGAGCACGATGAGGTGGGCGCACAGGTTTGGACATGTGCAGAGCCAAGCTCTGGCCCCATGTGCCAGTGACTCATGTGTGGCCTCAGGCAATTCATGTCCTCTCTTTGAACTGGCACTTGTGACTCTTGATTCCAGGTGTCCCCTTCCCATGCCATAGTCCTCTGGTTGTGTGGCAAAGTCAGTGCATTGATTACAAAAGTCGTCCTTTCTGTTCCTTGTTCTTTACATTCTCCACCACCTCTGGGCACAGGAACAACTATGAAGACCTCAAGTACCAGCAGGCCCAGCTGAAGGGCAAGATTCGGGTTCTTGCAATGGAGAAGGCGGCCTTGAAGCTCCAGGCGAGAAAGCTCAAGACATCCAAGCTCCTGCCAAAACAAGTGAGTGGCTGCAGCCGAGGGGTTTGGTTTTATGGGGGTGGGGTAGAGAGGAGGGTGGCAGCCTGTCCCTCCTGCAGCCACTCCTTACATGGCTTATGCCTCTGTGCTCTGAGCAGGTGCACCTTTGAGCTGAGCTGCAGGCTCGCTTCATCAGGCTGGCGTGTCAAGCATTCTGCCACCTGCCCTCTGCACTCACCCCCTAGGCCTTTGTTCCCCACCTGTAAAATGGGATGGTGGAGACCTCACACAAAATGGTACAGGGAAGGCACCTTGTGTGACTGTGTCGTGCCCCCTTCCCTGTGCCGTGGGTCTCTGGCTGCATCAGGTGGCCACCGACTGCTCTCTACCCAGACCAATTAGAACATGGAGGTCCCCAGTGCACTTCATTCAGGGCAGCATGTGAAGATGGAGCTGGCTGAGAAGTTGGGCCAGTCATGTGAGAAGCTGGGAGACCTAAAGGAGATGGGAATCCCTGCCCCATTCAGGAAGGGCTAGGAAGGAGACAGGCACCAGCCTCTGGGAAGGGGGGTGCCACAGCCAGCACAGAGGCAGCTCCAGCCTGCGGGACAGGTTATCCCAGTCATGCACTGCAGTCCTGTGACTATTCATTGCTCCCTTCCCTCTGACCATGCAGCTGCCGCAGAACATACAGAAATGCCAAGAGAACCAAGGCTTCAGCAAGAGTCCCTGCTTTCCATTGTTTTATCAAGCAGAAAAGTATTGTGGCAGTAAGATCATGGACATCTGAGATGTGGGGCCCAGGGCTCTGCCCCCTCCCAGTTCCTGCTACCCTGCCCTTGCCACCATGTCTCTGCCACCCTGCCCCTGTCCCAGCCACTCCTTCCCAGTCACCCTTTTATCATGTTAAGACCCCTGTTCTTTAAAAAAACAAAACAAAACAAAACAAAACAAAAAACAAACAAAAAAGGAAAAAATCAAAAATTTAAGGGGAAAAGCCAAAAAAAGAAACAAACCAAAACTGAATAAAAAAATCAAGAAAAAAGACAAAAAGTTAGAAAAAATAACAAAAAGAGAAAAACATGAAGGAGAAAACACCAAAAAGGAGAAAGCACCCAAAAGAAGACAACACCCAGAAAGCACCCAAAAAGAAGACAACACCCCCAAAAAGAAAACAGCACCCAGGAAACAGCCAAAAGAAGACAACACCGAATTGAGGAAAACAATGCCCAGAAAACACTCAAAAGAAGACAACACCCAGAAAACACCGAAAAGAAGTAGGCAGCACCCAGGAGAAAAAGAAGAAAACACAAAGAAAACATCTAAAAGAAGAAAGCACACAACCCAGAAAGAAAACACACAGAAGAAAACACCCCCCAAAAGGAAGAAAACCCCAACAAAAAGAAAACACAAACATAAAGAAAAACTGCCCAAAAGGAAAAAAAAAAAAAAAAAAAACAAATAAGACAGCCCTAACAAAAAGAAAAGAACCACAACAGAAAGAAGAAAAATCCCCACAAAATAAGAAAACCCCAACAAAAAGCAGACTCCCCCAAATGAAGGAAACCCCAACAAAAATAAAACCCCAATGATAAGAAGAAAACCTCTCAGAGAAGAACCCCCCCAAAAGAAGAAAACACCAAGAAAGAGGAAAAAAAAAAAAAAAAAAAAAAAACCAAAATAAGAAGAAACCCACAAGAAGAAAAACCCCAGTAAAAAGAAGAAAGTGCCAGCAATAGGAAGCCCCCCAAAGAAGAAAATCCCAATGAAAAGAACAAAACGCTAACAAAAAGAAACACTCCCCCACAAAAAGAAAAATCTCCACAAAGAAAAACTTCTGAAAAGAAAAACTTCCAGAAAAGAAAACCTCAACAAAAACAAGAAACTGTGCACCCTCAAAAGAGAACCCCCAAAGAAGGAAACCCTAACAAAAAGGAAAACCCCATAAAAGAAAAAAACAAAAAACAAAAAAACAAATAGAAAAAACTCCAATAGAAAGAAGAAAACCACGTAGGAAAACAAGAAAACCTCTCAAGACCCAAAAGAAGAAACCCCACCAAAAGAGGAAAACCCCAACAAAAGGAAAACTCCAAAAAGAGAACACCCCAAAAGAAAACACTGCAAAGAAGAAAACACCCCCAAAAGAATAAAACCCAAAACTCCCCTAGAAAAAACTCCCACAAAAAGAAAAACCCAGCAAAAAGAAAATCCCCACAGAAAGAAAACCCTAACAGAAAGAAAAAAACCCAAAAAACAAAAAGTAACCCCCCCAAAAAGAAGAAAACCCCTAAAAAAAAGGACAGAAAAAAACAAAAATCAAAAAATGTAAAAAAAAAAAAAAACATAAAAGAAAAACCAAACATAAAAATGTAAAAAAAAACAAGAAGAAAAAAGAAAGAAAGCAGCAGGGTGCTCTCACCAGTAGTCCAGCCTCAGGGACCCATAGGGGAAGACCAGTAGAATTGGTCCCTCGGGCAGGCCAGCCAGGGGGCCCCTTAGTGCTGGGGCAGGCCAGACAGGCCCTTAGCAGAAGGGGGCCCTTAGCAGCAGGGGAGCCCTGAATAGTAGGTCTGGCCATGGAGGCCCTGAGTGACAAGTAGGCTAGGCCATGGGGTCCATAGTGCCAGGCCAGGGGGCCCCTAGGTGGCCAGACCAGGCCAAGGAAGCACTCAGGGCAGGCCTGGCAGACCCTGAGCAGAAGGGGGCCCTTAGCCGCAGGGGGGCCCTGAATAGTAGGTCTGGCCATGGAGGCCTTAGCGTCAAGTAGGCTAGGCCAGGGGTCCCATAGTTCCAGGCCAGGGGGCCCTTAGCACCAATCAAGCCAAGGGGGCCCTGAGGTAGGCCATTCAAGGGGGGCCCTTAGTGGATGGCTACTCCAGGGAGTTGGCGGGGGGCGGGGCTTAGCAATGTTTTATCATTTATACTTGGCCAGAAAATTTTTTATTAAAATACCAAACTTATTTATGAAATATCTATTTTAATAATTATCCTTAGTTTTTTAGTTTCTTCAGAATCTACATTTACATTTTCCACTCCCACATTTGTGTATTTTTATTTGAGTCATATTTATTTAATTAAAATACAGACTGAAAGTGAATACATGGTTTTAGTTTAGTTTTTATTTTTCAGATAAACAGCTTTCAGATTTATTAGTTTGTCAATTCTGTCATTTTCCCCTCTCAAGATAATTTGATTTCATTTTTTTGTGTTCAGTATATCCATTCTCCTGTGAATCTTAGGTGTGTTATTTTCTCATGATGAATAAGTAGCTCTAGAACATTTTTTTTTCCTTTTTGTCTTTTTTCGTGACCAGCAATGGATCGCAACCCTCAGTGTCGCACCCGTACCAGACCAGAACCGGCAACGGGATCGCAACCCTCGGTGTTGCTCCCGCACCTCACTCAGCCAGTGAGCGGCTGGTCTGTATGTGGGATCCGAACCCTCCGTGGGAGCGCCGCCGCGCTTCCCAAGCAGCGCACTGTAGCAGTGCGCCACCGGGCCGGCCCCTAGAACATTTTTATATTTATGATTTAATCATGATATATAAGGGTGTGAATTTGCTTTAGAAAAGAAATTTTTTATCTCCTTCGTTTCAGCAATTTAACTATGATGGACTTTAGTATGATTTTCTCTTTTCTTTTTTATCCCAGTTGGGGTTTGGTTCTTTAATCTGTGGATTGACGTATTATACCCATTTTGGTAACCCTCAGCCATTATACCTTCAGGAATGGCTTCTGCCCCCTTCTCTCTCCCCTCTCTGTCCCCTACTGAGTCCAATTACACATACACAGTTGTAATGAGGCTCATCCATCTCTGCTTCTCCTGTCTTCCTCAGGAAAGGCCCATCAGTGATTGGGATGAACATTCTAGTAGGTCACTGGTAAAGCATGAACGACTGGCAAATCCACTTGTGACCATTGGAGGTTTCAGCTTGCTGCTTTAGTGCCCACGCCCTGCAGCTTTCAAATGTGGCAAAAATCTTGAGGGACCAATCAGCAGGCCCTGTCCCTCTGGGGAAACATTATCTCCCAGGCACTTTGAAACTCAGGCAGATTTTACTCTGACTCTGAGGAACCCTTTGCCTGGCTCCTCAATCCTCTATGTTCATCCCCAGAACACAGACAATGTCCTGTGGAAAACATGGACCGTGTTGGTGCTTCTCAATTTGTGTGATTTCTCACCCCAGCACCAGTCCTGAGGGACCAACCAATACTTCCCTGGTTTCTCAGTCCCTGACATGGGCCAACTGTGATCATCTCTTTCCCCCTCATCGGTCAAGTGTGATCACTGTAGCTTTTTCTTGGTGGAATCAGAGTCACAGAGCCCCTAGAAGTGTTAAGAGAACAAGATGCCCACCATACAAATTAGACCTTATACAAATGTGTTAAGATCCAGAGAGGGGAATCAGAACATCCGAGACCACAACCATGACAGTCTGAGTCAGTGGTCTGAGGGCAGGTAGGGTTTGCAAGAAAATTCAGACTGTGGGTGTCATACCACACAGATGTATCCTTCACACCAAGCTCATGGAGAAGTCTGTGGAAGACTGCACCTCTGAGAAAATGGAGCAACCTTAGGAGTAAGGACTGCTCGTACACCCATTTACAGATGGGGAAATTGAAGCCCAGAGAGGTCAAGTCACTCACACAAGGTCACACAGCAAGAATGGTGGAATCTAGGGATGGCCGGTTTGCTCAGTTAGTTCAAGCTGGTGCTGTTAACACCACGGTCCAGGGTTCAATCCCCGTAAAAAAAAAAAAATGCAAAATCTACACCCAGGGCAGGCCTACTTGGAAGCCCACAAACCTCCCACAATCCTGTACCATCTTCCCCACGCTTCAGGCAGCTGAGCCCCAGTTCCCTTATTTGCCAGGTGGGACTAAAGAGAGAACAGGGTGAAGTCTCTGGGGTGCATTCAATGAGCTAAAATGTGAGCCTGGCATTGTGCCCAGGACATCCTTTGCACTCAATCAGTGGCTGTGATCATTTGCTGTGACCAGCACCCCTAAATTATATGTTATGTGTCATTTACCACAATAGAAAAGAAAGCAAAATCCACAACTGTAACAATCTCCCTCATTCCACTCGCTCTTCTTCCATGTGAATTTAATAACCCTTGACAAGAGCTGGGGACTCGTTTCCCTCCTCTTGAGCTCAGGTGGACCCGGATGTCCACCTTAATCAATGGCGTATGGTGAAAGTGACACTGCCCCCTCACAAGGGTAGGTTCTAAATGGCAATGTGTCTTTTTCCTGGCTTGCACTTAGGACTCCCTTTTGAAACCCAGCAGCCGCAAGGGGAGGAAGCCCAAGCCACATGGAGAGGCCACATGTAGGTGTTGTCATCAACAGCCCCACCTGAGCTCTCAGCAGGCAGCCCGTGTCAACCGCCCGATGTGTGCACTAGGAAGCCTGGAAGTGACTCCAGTCCCAGCCACTGCCTGCCTGTGACCGTGAGAGACCCTGAGCAAGAATCACCCAGATGAGCCTAGTCAACCCTCCAAATTGTGAGATAATAATTAGTTTGGGGTGATCTCTTATGAAGCCAGAGATAACCTGAACTGGGGACACAGTAAACAAACAAGAGGATTTAGCTAGTGATATGGAGATGCTAAAACAGACTGATGTGATGAGGGGGGCTGCTTTAGCTGGGGGCATCAAGGAGGGCCACTCAAAGCAGGTGACGTTGAGCTGAGACCCAAAGGATAAAAACACGTCGACTATAAGAACTAGGAAAAAGCGTTCCAGCCAGAGGAACAGCAGTGCAAAGAGTCTGAGGCAGGAATGAGCTAGAGTGTCTGAGGAACAGCAAGGAGGCTGGTGAGGCTGGAGTGGAGAGAAAGGGGGTAGCCGTGGGGAGGTGATGGGGGGCTTTGTTGGCTATCATCATGAAGATGAGATTTTTGTTCTGAGGGTGCTGA